CGAATATAACAACTTTGAATACAACCAATGTTTTAACCCAGAGCCGCAGATGGCAGTGAGAAATAATTCGTTCCCTGACACAATGAACTTGATATATTATCCTAGAATTATTCCACCTTGATTTGTAACTGCGAAATCATTTATATATTCAATAACATTACACCAGATTTCTTAGCTGCATTTTGTCATTATTAATTAAAATGTTTAAGTTCTTACAAAAATAGTGTTTATATTGATTATCTAGATCTATTAGGGATTATATGTCTATGTGTTTACAATGAACATGCTTACGTGTTTCCAAACATGAGGGTGGGACTAAGTTATCACGTGCCTGAGGGTTTGTTAACGAGAGGACGTGCCTGGCTGTTTTACAGTGTGTGAGTATAACACATGTGTTTATTCGTACTTATGTTTGTGAAGGTACTAAGGGTGGAAATACTTGAAAAATCTAATGTAAAAAGGATTTTTGTAGCAGGATTGTAAAAAAAAACTATTAAGCTAAAATAATATCTATTGAATTATTTAAATCATATCATCTACTAGTGAGGGTTACATTCTTTAAGATTCATTTCAGGTATATTCAAAAATCTTTCTTTAAGAGTCGTTTTATAAATTTCTTAGATTTTTTCATTTCTTTATTACAAAAAAAATAAAACAATAATGCATATTTTAAAGATCTTTTTTATTCTAGATTTTGTTTATCCAGAACAATGAAGGAGTTACTTTAATTTAGTTTTAGATAAAATGACGTCAGTGGCTATCAGTTGATGTTTTTACCGCAATTTCTATTTACCACTGCAGATTATGTTAAGCCTTCAATTTTACCTTCAGTAACGAACAATTTACACACCACGAAGTTAATTGTTGTATCTCATTATTCCACTTCAATTATCAGACAATTGTTTAGCCTATGAGATAATTCTATATTATTAGTTCAGGCCTTTATACGACTTTGAAAAAAAGTCTAATTAATATTTTTAAATAAACGTGTATAATATTTATTTGTGTATTTTTCCTTAATTTAACGATAGTATTATATGCAATATTCAGATTAACTTTTCATTTCAGGGAAACTTATATTGTCGTAACCAAAAATAATCTCAGGGGAATCACGGCACCTGCCATAAAGAATAACATTATTTTTTTAATGAAATAGATATGGTAATCAGTTGATAGCGCCATCTATATTCCGTGATAAATGTTTCAATACAACTTTTTTACCGTTTTTCTTAGGGATCTCCGTGTCCCGCAGAGTATCTACGAAGATTTTTATATATCAATAACAACCTACAACTTACTTTATGTCCAGCTACACCGCTGAAAAGTTTCATCAAAATCAGTCCATCGTTTGATTTGTAACAGAGCATCAGACACTCATCCAGTATGATGTTATTCTGAAATACGATTTAGTTTAACTTGTGTTCTATTGTAATCAGACATTTTCGTATGATAGCGGTTACAAATAATTCAAATGTAAAATTTTCATAAATTCTTAAGAATATTACCAGTTGGTACATTTTTACAAAAATTTGTGTTAAATATATCTTGTTTGATTTTCAAAGTAAAAGTGATAATTTTTTTTATCTGTTAATGAAAATAAGATATTACAGATCTACATTAACGAAAGGTACGAGTAGCAAACATAAACATGGCATGACATGATCGATATAACAGTTATTTTATTAGAAAAAATGAAGAAAAACAATTTTAATATTATTTATTTACGAAAACTTGTTTGTTCAATTTAAGCCCACCCAGCACATTCCGAGAGACATTCTTTTTCTGAGGCGAAATTATTGGTATCTTTGTTAACAAGCCCACAGTGGTTGGCCCAGCGAATCTCATAGCAGTGTTGTCTACGCCAGTCGAATGCCCATCTGAAACATTCCAATTCAGTATATCAAATCAATATTCAAATGAGGGCCGTTGTATATTTAATTAGATCCCAGATTCCCAATTCATTTACCTTTCTTGATGAGGCCATCTATCTTTAGCCATGTATTCTATCAAACAGTGCTTCTCTGTCGGCTTGATCTGGCATATCTTGGAGGTGACTTAAAATTATATTGATATTTTTAGTGACAATAAAATCATAAAGAAATATGTGATTTTTAAAATAATTTCGTCTTATTTGTCGTAATAATTAAAATTTTAAGATTAGAATTGATGTGCATACAACTTACCCCTCGAATTTACTTGATAAATAAACAAAATGTTTAAGATAACGAGGTAAAAACGAAACATGTTTTATAAGAGGTTATCAATAAACTAAACATATGAGTGTAATGTGATAAAGTTGACAGATGACATACAAATATAATTGATTTAATATCTATTATATCAATAATATTGTGGTCGGGCAGAGTTTTGTGTTTTATTGTGTTATGTTCACGCTACATATTAACAAATAAATGGACATCGCCGATTCGATATCATTTTATAGATAAAATATCATTTAACGAGTGACGTTGTTTACTCCTCGGAACGAACACCAAGCCGTGTGAACTAGAAGAACCACATAAGCAATGGAATTGCACTGCTGTCCTAACATCGGGTCAATTATGTAGTCTTATGTATAGGTTATAAGTTTTAATATGTAATTCTCATTATTGTTACAGCAGATTTAAGAAACATATTTTTATTATCTCTAAAAATATATATTTTAATTTAATTAAAAAACACTTTCAGCAAGTATCAGACTATTTCTATTTTTAAACAAGTTTTCATAAAATAATATCGTTTGAACAGAAGTTAAACATGTAAAAAAAACTTCAAAAAATTGTCTCCGCCGTGACAGTGTAATCACTGCCGTGACCAGGATTCGAACCTGGGTTACTACGGCCACAACGTAGGGTCCTAACCACTAGACGATCACGGCTATCGGAGCACTTGTAAGATGTCTTAAATATCCAACCAGTACTTGCACAGGTTTAATATTGACATGTTAAGTAAACCCTGGTGGCGAAATGTTCCAATGCAAATTCGTACATTCTCACTTCAAGTGACCTACTTTCTAACTTGGTCGGTTTATTTTTAACTGGAGCAATTACTTTCACTCAATTGTACACCATTACAACTGGATTAGATTTTAGATAGTGTTATTAATTTAAATAATATGGAATAAGTATAATATTTTCTTTCAATGTACAAAAACATTTATAAAAAAAAATATCCAACATAAAAATATGAGCCAAAAATTATTTTAATCTTTTTCATATTTAACCATTACAAGACAAATCTACATAGACAATATTTTCTTAAAACGTTGATTTAGAAAATGTATTTGTTTAAGGTATCAATTCTCTCATACATTTTTTAATATTATTCGCTTGGTCTTCACAAAAAGGGTCAAGTTTAATAAAATACGTGATCTCCAAGAACAACAAGCAAGCCAAACAAATCAGTATGTTGGTAGACAAATATTATCATGTCAAAGAGAAGGATAGGGATTTTACTTTAGGATTACTTATATTACTATAAAATTGATACTTTAATTGTTTCCTTTTTTATATCTTATCTTCTATTCATTTTCGTTTCATATTAATTTAGTTTGCTTTATAGAGGATGGCCAAAACTCTTGAGAGTATTTAATAATTCCTAGGCATATATGTCTGTTTATATCGTTTTTTTACTATTATTTCGTACAAATATACTAAAAGATTATAAATGTGAGAACTTATACATATATGCATGTTATTATATTTTACAAACTTTCAGCTCTTATTGTTATAATAATAAGTTAGAAAAGATAAAAAAACTACGAACAAATTTTCAAATCCTTCAAATTGTAGTGAAAAAATATTTTGTAATAATTATGTTAATTTCCATAGCGAGGATAGCGAAATAAATCCAGAGAAAACTATAAATAAAATCGATCCTATTTGAAAATTAAAAAAAAATACTGAAAAATATTCGATTTTAAAAGCATTGAATTTGTGGCATAATGTTTTTCTTGGTCTATTTCATGGATTTATATTTTATAATACGCGTATGACCTAAAACACGACTAGAGTCTTAATCTCTTCGTGTTACCTAGGACGTACTTATTTTATAAATAACTGCATCACATATGAGTTACTCATAGTTTAAATCCAGTTACTATAGTTAAATCTTTAAAATAACTCAAATTAATAAAGATATCTCAAATCGTAAAATAACTCAAATGTTTTCCCGTACTTATTTTCGTTACAGTCTGGCATATAAATTGTTATATAATATAGCTAGGTTAAACAAAAAAATCTTAAGTAAGAACTATTAAGAATTTTGTTTGAGAGATGTACTCTTAATCATTTGTAAAACAAACGACAGAACTACTCTCTAAGCTGCTAAATAAATATTATATATATTACTTATATATGTTTATTATTTTATTAAGTAATGGTGATAGTTTTCTCTGGCGGAGAACACAAACATCGCCGGGAGGCGAGCTAGTGAGAATTAATAAAGAAGCCGAGGTCGGGGCGCGGCGACAATCTGCCCGCACCTATTTATATAGAGTAGACTACGGATAGAGGCAATCTTTAAACGACTACATTAAAACATTAATTTGTTATACTTAACATAAAAAATACGTTTCAATAACTACTTTTGATTGTTAACATATTATTTTATATAAAAAGAATAGTATATGATTAAAGAAAATATATAGTAACGAGATTTCACATTTTTCATGGTAAAATAATATTAAAAAAAAAATTCTATAAAAACAAAATTCTTATGTAAATACCTATTTCGTTTAAGACTCATATATGTATATGTAAGTAATTTCTTTAACAAACTAGATATATTTAAACTACTCAATAGTTAATATTAAATTATAAATTTAATTATTTAATAGAAGCTTCTCATATTTTATACTCTATACAACACACCCTAATGGCTTCGTGCTAATTCAAGCTAGTGTAAGGCCGTCGCGGCAACAGGCTGGCATTTGCCGTCTTTTTTATTTTTTATACCGAAATTTTGTTACTTTTTCTTTAAAAAAACTTCATATAAACAACATGGGAAACAAAGTTGTTACATTTACAGAACAACAACTTGAAGATTACCAGGTATATGTACATTGAAATAATAACTCGTGTTTATGTAATACAAAAATATTATAAGAAAACAATAAAGATTAAATTTATTAAAAACTAACTTTAATAATCAATACAGTTTAATTCATATTTACAGTTTTTTCGGAAATTTAAATCCTTAAAAACTTCCTACCAATATTTCAATGTTATTTTTTATACTTGTAGTTCTCATAATTCCAAAATAACAAGTAAATAGAAGGACATATTGTTAAATCATTTGTATTCTTATAATTTCTCATTCTCAGGACTGTACATTTTTCACAAGGAAAGAAATTTTACGGTAAGGAGGTAACGGTTTTAATTAAAAAAAATTTTTTGCATACATTTATAATAATAATAAATAAATAATATAATAAAAGAAAGTCCTGTTAGCTGCACTATTTATAACTCAAGAACATGTACGGATTTGGCTGGAAATTTGTTGGAAGGTAGGTTGAAATCAGGAGACGGACATAGGATACTTTTTATTCGATTGAAAAAGTCTAAAATCTTCTTAACTCCTGTCTTTAAGGAGGAACATAGTTGTTCCGGTCAGCTATACATTTCTAATCCTGAAACTAACGCAGACGAAGTCGCGAGCAAAAACTAGCTTTGAATATAACTAAATTAAATGAACATAATGACGTCATTTCACAAATTAATGTACCACAAACCAAAATAAATGAAACCAAATACTCAGTGAATATGTAATAATATCTGTGGATACTGAAATGTCAAATCAAACATCACAGAGGCCGCAAGCTGCGTTTGTGCCAACAGTAATTAATTAGGGATTGAATTATGCTTCACGGTAATCAAACTGATCAAATATTAATTTACTTCTGTACTATAATACAATAATATTGAATATTATTACTGTTTAATACTGAATAGTTATTTCTTTTTAATACTTGTATACAATTTAACTCTGTAACAATAAGAAGCAACTTGTAATATATTTTACAGTGAGGTACTTTTAATTTTGAGCCTTCGTGTACTCCTATTTCAAAATCATCATTGAGTATTATAAAAGTGAATAAAGATGTTATAATTTATTCAAATAAAGTATCTACATTTATTAATTTAATTGCAGTGGCTGTGAGTAGGTATTTTATTTCCCGAAAATATTTCTTTTTTATACCTTTAATGTTAGCAACAACGTGGATAAAAACTTAAAACGGTAAATTTTAATAGAGTTATTCTTCTTCTTTTGATTTCATCTGCTGTGGTTATTTCAATATAAGTTTACAAAAAGCCCTCTTTCTATAAGTATTGTCAATTAAAATCAAAATAAAAATTTTTCACATAGTTTTATTGAATGCAGTCAGCTATCATGATAATAGATTTTTTTTCCACACAGTACTCGAGTTTATAATTCGTCCTACATATGAAAACGTTGACATTGAGAAAGAACTCAACTATTCCAGTGCGAATGAAGCCATAGCATAAAACAAATTAAAAGTATCAAAGAAAACAAGACTAAAACTGTAACAAAACTATAAATGTTGTAATTATATGAAATATTATTTTGGGTATATAACCATGTCTTGGAAGTGTCATAGAGTCGTAAAGAGGCATAGATGAACGTGATTATACCAACATAGATAAGTATTATCGGATTAAAGTTAAGTATTTTAAGTCACAGTAATTCCATTATCCACATGTCAGTTTCTTAATACTCATTATTTATTACGAACTGTTTGAGGTTTTGACCACGTTTAAACTACATATTTATTTATTTATTTAAGATTACCAGTGGTAAATACATCAATACATACAAAGGTATACAATTTTTAGCAATTTAAAACTAAATGCATTACCTTCTTCTTCTGCCTGGCAATTTCCCAGCTATAGCCAGGGTCCTGCCCTACATGTTGTGAAAAGTTTTTGGCTATTTGTTTTTACGACCGGCCGCCTGCCTGACATCAACCCTCTTTTGGGAATCAACATTAATCAGTGATGTCTAAATACGGATGATTGATGATTGATGATTCGGAAAAATCACATTGGTACTTGCCCGGGCCAGGATCGAACCCTCGCCTTCGGCGACGAGAGGCGGGCCCTTTAACCACTGAGCCACCACTGACTTATATGTACCTTTTAAGGTGAATACCACTTGCAAAGATAAAGTTGGATATAACAAGCTTACAAATAATTAATGGTTAGTAAATTAAGGTTAAAAAGACAAGGATTAACAATAATAGTAAAACAATAATAAACAAATACAAACAAAATAAATTAATTGGATGACAATTTTGACAATAATTTTTTGTGAAACTTGTTTGACTAGTCTCCAAAAGGGTATAAAACAGCACTGTGCTCATTAAAAATTTTACATAAGCGAGATACAGGTGAATTGCATCCTAAAACAGTTTTGCGGAAAGGTCTTACTAATGGTATTATTGGTTTACGTGGAAATCTAATTGGAACATTCAATTTAATTTTTGATACCAAAAACGAGTTATCATAGTTGTTGTTAAGTGTTTTATACATATAGAAATTTTAAGTCCAACAAATCCCTCCAATCACTTAGTTAAAGAATTTTGAAAAATTCTAATCCTTTTTGTAAGAAGGAATTATTTTCCCTTTACCCACAGAGAAAGTAAGATGATAAAGGAAACGTTTCTTTATCCTCTCAAGTCTTAGTTGGTCTTATGAAGTTCTTTTATCATTATATTTACAGAAAATTATTATTTTTTCTTTATTGCAACTCTAGACACATGATAGATAACAAGACCAACTGATAGACATTGACATCTCGTCTGCCCGTGATCACGATTGCTGTAAAGTAGCCGAAACGTCGGGAGTATGTAGTTTTTTTTACAAAAGATAACAAGCGTAGTATATCCGAAACATATTAGTTTCATTTCATTGCAGTTCTTACGATAGTTTTAACCCATAAAATATATGTATATGTATGTAGGTACCTTTAGAGGTCTAACATATATTACAAGTCACGTGTTGTTTTATTATTATCGTAATATGAACGTGCCGCAACACGTCTCCGATACAGAATTAATTACTACTTTAGCTATAATCCGATTGAGGAAGCACTTAATGTGTTTTATACATTTACAGTTTCATTTGTTATTAATGTTGGAATGATATAAATTACGAGTTTAAACATGAAATACTTTAGATTTATTTCTCCGAATCAATGACAAGGGGAATTTGACAACTATAAAGATGACTCAAGAATCATTCTTTCTCCCAAGTATAACTATTGAAATAGTTCTGCCCTCTTTTATATGATTCATTTTAATCATCACGAAAATTAATATAACATACTACTCAAACTTTTTATCGTATACAATAAGCTTGAATATAATTCCGTTGAGCCATTTTTTTTTAACAACTACATTCTCACAAGGTCCGAAATATGGAGCCGAATTAAGAATATTAATTTCTATTAAACTAGTTAGCTACATATATATCCTTCTTTCTGCAAGCATACCCATATATCATAATAATTATCTTCCATATATTAAGACTCCGTACTATAGGCGTTGAAAATCACCAAAGCAATTATAAACACTGTTTTATTAAAATTTCAGAGTTTTCAAACGGTTCAGAGATGTCAACCCGGAGCTTGTGCCAAAACGGATGACTGAAAAACAAGCGCACACTATAGCTGTGCCCGTCGAGGAAATTGAAAAACTACCTGAACTTAAAGTATAAAGCGACATATTAATAACAAATGCATAATGAGTTAAAAGATACAATTTATATACACAAAAAGAGCATTAAAATAATAAATAACTTTCTAAATGAAACTAATATTTTCGGATTAATAGGCGTTATTTTATTATTTTTATAACTACATGCCATAAAGCCTCACGAGACATTCTCATCTGACTACGGTTGCTGAAAAGTAATCGAAACGCCGGGAGTATATACTCTTAAAAATAATAAAATAACGCGTATGAATCCGAAAATATTATTTTCATTTAAATGAAATAATTTAATTTCGTTTAAAAGAATACTCGCGAAAGTCTTAGATCTCAATATTAACATTTTCTATATTACTTTAGGAAAACCCTTTCAAGCGCCGTATCTGCCAAGTGTTTTCTCATGATGGATCAGGTAACTTGACCTTCGAAGACTTCCTGGACATGATGTCGGTATTCAGTGAAGCTGCGCCCAGAGATATTAAGGCTTGGTGAGAATTATTAGCTATTAAAATACTGGTAGTTAAATGAAACTAAGCTTTGAGATACTACGCTTTATATAAAGTAACTATTAATACTAAAAGCGTATTATCTGAAATAGCTAAGTTTCATTTGAATTAGTGTAGAAGAAAATATATCTAATAAACATCACTATATTATTAGCTGTCAATTAAAATTCACAAAATAAGGTAATGCTATCATCGCACCCAAATCTACGAATACCTTCCAAATGTGTCTTTGCATAAGTCGCTTGAAATGGATAATTTTTAGTAATAAAACCGCATTTGAGCTAAAAAAAATATTTTAATTTTCTGAAATAATCTGTAAATGTAAAAAGTCTAAGTAAAGTTACCATTTTTAATTGAGTCTCTTGTAAATGTCTAAAGTACTTTAGGCGCTAAAAAGGTTTTATATCAATTTTTCTTATGTTTTATTTTCTTTATATTTCCAACAATCAAAATTATTAATGTCTTACTATTATTACGAATGCGTCACTAACAGATAATGGAGTACTCTTAAGCGACCATTTACCAAGAGAAATGAAAGAACTCTGGTTACATAATTGTTGCTTTGTCATAAAGTCCTAAATATATTGGTTTTGGTTCTTATAATATTTTTATTTCTCCGCCCTAATTAACTGAAATTACATATAGAAATGCCGTTTAGTACCATTAGTATTATGATACAGACATTAGGGAAAACGTAAAAATGTTATTTTCTCATTACTTGATTATAAAAAGATAATAGACGGAAAAATATTCATTTTAGATGTGATCGCAAAATAACAAGGAATATTGCTTAATGGAAATATTTTACATTCTATTATTATAAATATTTAATTTAAGTTTATTAATCAAACAATGTAGGTAAGTGATTTAGAGATTTCCATATCTCATCGGTTGAAGATCAGTGGCCCATGTACAATACCAGATTAGACCTCTTGGGACCACTCCGTCTTATAAACTCGGATAATACGAAGACGTGAGAGTAATTTGTTTCTAGGGTCTTTTTAAGCTGTGATGAACAACTGAAAGGTCTTATCACTCAATAGAACCTTCAAGAAATTCCTTTATTGAAGTTACAAACTAAAATTAGTCGATATTTTTAGCTATACGTGATCTAAATTAGGTTACACTCCAAAAATACTTCCATAATTCTCTATAAAAATTTTTAGATAGATTTTTTTTTCGCAACTTTACTTTTAAGCAATTCTTTATAATAATGAGATCTATGATTTTCGCAAGTACTCATTTAAATTTAACTAATATTTTCGGATTTATTCGCGTTTATATTTTTGACTAAGTATAGACTACATACTCACGACGTTTCGGTTACTTTTCACCAACCGGTTGCTATCCTTTTATTTTTATAATCCTTTTATTTTGTCATCATCAGGTACGCGTTCAGGATCTACGATTTGGATGATGATATGTACATTGGTAGAGAGGATTTGTTGGAGGCGACCCGAATGCTGACCAAGGGGGAGCTTCACGAACAGGAACGTGATGAAATCGTGGACAGCGTGCTTGATGAAGCTGACGTGGATGGAGACGGGAGACTATCATTCATGGACTTCGAACACGTGGTCGTGCGAGCACCAGACTTCTTGTCAACATTCCATATTAGAGTTTAAAGAATATGCTCATAGATATATTATTATAATAGCAATTAAATCTCTCTTCCTTTTAAAATCAACATCTGCCTTAAGCTTTTAATTTGTAAGTTTCAAGATTAAAGTTCTTTTAGTCTTGTAAAAATTTCCAAATCAAAGCTTTTAGGGTAGATCAAGTCATTGCAATATTGTTTCATAAAATGCCTCGTGAAAATTTTTTGAGTGTGTAATAAATATATGAGAAATATATGTGACTTATAAATTAATTAGAATTATGTATATGAGAAGGTCAAATATTTGTGAGTTTGCATAGCATAATGGTAATAAGCACAAACTACAAGTTGATGACTGACGTAAAGAAAAATGGCTGCTAATTTCTAAAACACCTTCAATCATAGAACAAAAGTGTTCACTTAATAAAACAATTCGATGTAGGTATATAAATTCAATAACTCAATATTTCGTTTATTCCTTGATAAAATAATGTGTAAAATAAAAACGAGTACTGTATTCAACAAACTGACAAACTGTCATAGAGATTGGCGATTGATGAAAAAAGTATTTTTGAATAAAGTATTTATTATACATATCGTTTATATCTGTTATTTTTGATATTGGAACAATTTAAAATTTTTAATTATTTCTGAAAATGATATTTTTAAGTGCAATCTGAATTTCTTTTATATCTGATGAATTTTGTATAATTAAATGTATGAAATACAGCGGCAAGTAAATAAATCAGATCAATCAATGATGTGTCCAAAGATTTAAAAAAAAACAATATTATTGTACTATTATACCTTCCTATTACGACCTTTATCTCGAGAATTCTTACAAAATATCAAACGAAAATAATATCAATTACAGAACTAATTCGTTATAGCAATAAAAATATCATAGATAGGTATTTTAAATAAATAATTTTCATTTTTCATATTTTATCATATTGGTTGTTTACGGTATGATAATTTTATGTAGTTATAGAGTATCTTTACTTTTTGTTTCTTATTATTATTCTCATTCTGAAACTTTGTGTTTATTTTTTGATGACAAAGTTCAGTCGAACACGAACTTTAGAAAAAGAACTACCATTAAATTTAGCCAGAGGAGGTAGTGCAGACTAACAGAAATTTGTCTCGAACGCTTTTACAAGAGACTATTAAGCTCTACCTACTGCCAGAATGTTGAGAGTTTTGTAAAATAATAATGATTAATACGATCAAATTTAATTTGTGTCGTGATTTCATAAAACTGAACAACTAGATTTTTTTATACAATAAAACTCTTACTATTTTCTAAAGTAACGAGATTTTGTAGTCTACTTCGTCATTTGGCTCACAGAGGAATCTATAAAGTGTATTATTTAAAACAATAAACGTCATATCCAACTAACCGGTAGTGACATCTGTACTTTGTGTCACGTAACTTCATGCAAAATACAACTATTATGCCGTAACCCGCAAGAAGCACAAGGAATTTCGAACTAAAATATGATACCTTGTGTAATGTCAAGCTGTTATATTGTCAAGTTTTATTAAAACCGATAAAGTTATTTTATGAAGGTGCAACAAATGTACATGCATGCATTATTACATCCTCATAAAATTCCCATTTAAAATGTGGAGTGCTTAGAATATAATTTACAAAGAAGAAGGATATCTATACTTCATTTATTTAAAATCCTATTCAGATTTGAGTTTTATTTATATAATCAATAAGATGATTGAGTTCGGATCACTATATTATATTTAATATAAGTTAAGTATAAAAATTACAATGCTGCTGCTTTTCGAAGACTGTAAAGAGCCATCTATTGGAAATGTTGCATATCACATACTCAAACAGAATAGAATTTTGATAGAGATGTGAATAGATAGACAACAACTACATTATGCATAATTTAAAAATTAAAAGTGTTCTCTTAATAATAAGTAATACTCAGATATTGTTATTTAGTGATTTATAATATATTACGAACGCATTCAATTCTATACTGCATGATTTCTTCATGGTATCTAATATTCTACATTATCTATGGTGCAATAAAAAAAATTGAAGTTGGTACTATAATATCGCTTTTGTACTTGCGTTTTCAGCATTATCATGGCTAAGATGCTGTTATAATTAATTATAATAGATAAAGTGCCTCAAGTATTGTTATTTACACGTGCAGTGCAAAGACATTTTGATATTTTAAGCAATTATATGATTACCTGCTTTCATTTGACAAATTGCGCTAGACCGCATAAATAAAATGGCAGCCCTACCACGTAGAATAATCAAAGAGACACAACGGTTGATGCAAGAACCCGTGCCGGGAATTAGCGCGGTGCCTAGCGAGAACAATGCTCGTTATTTTCACGTAATAGTCACCGGGCCAGAAGACTCGCCGTTCGAGGGAGGACTTTTCAAATTAGAACTATTCCTTCCAGAGGACTACCCTATGTCAGCGCCTAAGGTTAGGTTTATTACGAAAATTTACCATCCGAATATAGATCGGCTAGGTCGCATATGTCTGGATATTCTGAAAGACAAATGGAGCCCGGCACTGCAGATTCGCACCGTTCTGCTTTCTATTCAAGCTTTATTATCGGCACCTAACCCCGACGACCCGCTGGCCAACGATGTGGCCGAACTGTGGAAAGTAAATGAGAGCGAAGCCATCCGAAACGCGAAGGAGTGGACCAGGAGATATGCAATGGACAACTGAGCGGCTACAGTCGCACCCAGTGCCTCTCCCACGCGCTACATGAAGTGAATGTAACTAACATATATATCATGATTTTAAGAGTGCAAGTTATGTTTTACTACCTAGATCGAATAACTTGTGAAGAGACAATTGTGGATAAATTTATATAAAGGCATAGGCTGGAGCCGTCGAGGCAGCAGCCGAACCCGCCATCACCTCTTGCATTTCTTCATAGCCTCCCTTGTCTTGGTCTACTCTGAATGTCCCACAGATTATTGTTTATTTTATCACATGTAGCTTGGTTATGATATTAGGTATGCATATTTTTTTACTATAATTAAACTAGCTAAATATTGGAATTCTCGAGACCCTATTGTATATATTTCATAGTTGATCAAATGTGGTTAATTTTATACAAAGGATAGTGTATTGTCACAAAGTTCATTACCTTTGTAAATCTTATCAGCTGTAAAGTGAAGACATAATGCAATAATATCAGTTTATGATCTCCGCAGATACTGTTAGTTTTTTTTATTGTTTAGAATGAGCAATGTTTTAATAAATATATTTTCCAGTGATTTCTCTGCATAAAAATAATTTAAAAATGAATCTTGTGTACCATTTACTGTATAAAAGGTTATCATTAAATTGTATTTATGTAAATTTAATTTGGCTTTGTGAGCAACTTGAAAATACATAATAAACAAATGCTAATTCTTATTTTATTTAACATTGTACTCCTACATTAACAATACAATAAGACATAGAATATTATATATTTGTGATTTTTCTAAATTTGTTTGCTTCATAGAGGTTAATTTAATAAAGATGAGGGTATTACATCAGAGTACTATGAGACAGTAACAAATTGGCTTCTCTACGTACATTATATTATATTATACAACAACCGGAGTACTGAAATAATTTTATGGTTGTTTTTTAACAGTAATCCTAGTATTTATTTAAAAATAATCTATCATTAAAATGGGTAAGTTTAATTTTCAAGTATGTAATCAGTGTTCAAATCTAAATGTCATAAAAATTTCACAGAAGTTAATAATTGAAGTTGTAATTTTGACTCTTTCTTTTTGCCAAAGATCTATAAATATGCCTCTTAGTGATATTATATTAAATCAAGATTATAATTCATGCAGAAAAAATAATTATTTTGACATTGGCATAAATATTCCATGATTCTAGTTAGAATGAAGCCGTAGCAGAAATTTTAAAAAAGTTAAATATTGCAACATCTGTCAATAAATGCATTAAAGGAAAGTCACAAGACCTATATTAATATATAAATGGTATTATTTTGAGACAAATATACATTTAGTATTGCCAGTAATTGATACATTATTATTTTGTAGCTCTTTCTTGTCACTAACTAGAAAAACTAAAGATAGACATAGATTTATAATTAACACTAAACACAAAATTAGTAGCTTTTATAATGTTTTTGTACTGTTAAATATTACTGAATAGTGACAGGTACAATTGAAACTCTTAGTCAGAGGTGGATATGAAAAACTAAATTTAGGTAAAACTAAAGTATTGCCTGTTGAAAAAAAATAATTCCCATATTACAATGGCTGTCATTCATTCTATCTGCCAAAACAAATAAAAAATATTTCTAGCCTTCCAAGACCACATACATACATCTGGAATAATTAGTTACGTACAAAAATACTCACAACAGGAAAACACAAGAAATTATGATATGAGGATGTCCTACTTTTATTGTATCTTATTTATAGCTGTTATATAAATTATAGAATTGTGGTTAAAATTTTTAAAAAGTAATTCGCGTTTACATTTTAATAGTTTGAGCCTATAAAATGTATATTTTTCAAGTACTAGTATGAATATTTTGGAACAATGTCTCCTTTATAAGCAAATACGAGCATCGTTTGAGAAGCCAGAAAGAGAACTAAGTCCTATTAAATTCATGAAGATTCGATTTGATAAAATAGAACTTTCTTTATTAAATTCAATTTAAACTGTCTTGCGTTTAGGAAACTAAGTTTGGTTGAGGTTTATAAGAGACTAAGAGTATCAAATTTATATATTTTCTACTCCAATAGTGGATCATTATTACTAGACTTATAAAAAAGGCTTTTACTATTTTTTAATAGCGACCATTAGAAATAATTGACTATTTAAAAGCACTGGTCCACTATATAGCTTAGTATGTAGCTGAATTTTTTTGGTATCTATTTTTAAAATGCCTTCGTAATTCTGATAGATGATCAATATATAATGTCTCCGCAGTATTTAATGCTTATTTGTTCTTTTAACTGTTACAAGAGACCCATTTATCTTTGTCACCCAACACGGCTTTACAAATGTCTTTAGCTATGATGAGGTTTGCTATGGCTAATCACGTTTAATTTGTTTTGCTAAATTTGGTTTCCATTTTTTGTTAGAATTCTTCTCAAGAAAAAGAAATAAATACCATGAGTCGTTGTACTTTACTTTAATACCTTGCTCTCATCGTCATTAATCTGCAGCACTGGCGCCACCTTTGAAACACATTCAAAAATTAAATATTCCAAGTTTTTTTTACGGAAAAAACGTCAAACAATAAAGAAATTAATAGCTACATTTTAGTTCTTATACGCAAAATTATCGTTTTTGAATAAAAACACAAGGTTAATAAGAATCAATGAGAGCTAGTAGCTGTAGGTCATTTTTATATGAAGATCTCATTTTTATATGAGTCGATGAGTTTAAAAATAAGATTAAATATGATGTCACATAAATTTATGTTACATTTATGTTTTACAAAAAATACTTTTTTTTATAAAATTCTAATACTTCTACTGTTCCGTTAAGTGTTCAAGTTCACGTTGAACTACTCCGCTGATAAAATTTCAAAGGTTAAATTTGATAAGAGGAATTTAAGCGTGTACCCTTCATTTAACATGAACGTCAATTTATTCGTTTATATTTTTTGTTTAGTGATCGTCGACAATCAGTTGTAATGGGAATCTGTAGACGAATTTAAACCAGGTTTTACTAGTATGTATGAAATAAGTTTATATGTAGCAATTACTATTTTTTATCACAAGTAGTACGTGTATGACGTCACAGAATACTGAAATTAAATTAAGTAAACTGAAAAATAAATTACAAAACTTGTTACATGAGTTATTTGAAGGATAAGTCAGTATTATTGTCCTATAGTATAAAATAAAATATGCGTATAAGACGTATACGCTCGTTTTATATATGTTTTTATTGTTAAAAACAATAATTAGGAGTACAAAGTAATCATAGGTTTTCTGAGCGAATTTATTTTATAACAAAGAATGGGTAAGCCATACATACATCGAAAACTCATAAGCAAAATTTATAGAAATGGAGATTCCATACTACATACAGATACTATACAGCAAATTACCATAAAAAATACACAAGATCTGAAAACAAAATAAAACAATATAAATAAATTTGTTCATTTTTATTCTTAACTTTAATGCAGACTAGAATAATACTCTTAGAAATGAGAACAACAATAGTTATTTCACATGTTACAGTGTACCTACAATATATCAGCTTCCACAATAAAACGCTATTTATTATCTGTGTTCATTCAATGTAAATAAAATCTTATTCACAACAGCTAGCAATATAAAATTACACATCAGACCGTATCTGTAAACATTTTAACCTAAAACGAAGGGGCGCGACCAGTTTATAATACTCAAAATAAACTTCATACTGCTGAAACATTTTATAAATCTACACTGAATGTCTTGCGACATAAGCGATGTTAGCGCTTTTTTTCTCTTAAATAAATGTAGTACATAATCTGTACAACTGTCATTGAGGAGAATGAAGCGCTGAAATCGCTTAAATAGAAATATCCGTTAGCCCAAAGATTGTGAAGAACTGGTCGTTTCGGCAAACTATAACGAAGGATAGTTTTTTTTATAAATAGTGACTACATATGTCAAAAGCATAATTATTTTGGAGATGATATAGACAAGCGGTTTATATATTACTAAGGGTTTGAAGGAAGGGTGGGGGGAGGAGGGGGTGTCTTATACAATAAATATTTTATACATAAATAGAACTCGTCCTCAGAGCGCTAAGCTTAGTTAAAACATACATTAGGTTACATAGTTACGCTATAGCCACACTATAAAATTTACAAAATATGACATATCTTTTGAAACGCTACATGAAATAATGTTTTATTATATTCACTAATCAATTCATTTATTTATCAATGATCACATCGAGATCCCTCCCTAGTCCCTACAGACAACTTCCACTTCGACTAAACATTTGATCTTACTCCGACACTCCGACCACGCTAACAGCTATACATTATAATCTGTATTAACCTACATGTATTGGTGTTACTAACATACAAAAATATTTTTAAATATCAAAGATTCCAGACAAAAAAAAAATAATATAAAAAAATAAAAACAGTCTATGACGAAAACAAAAAGGGACTACGAATGGAATGATTTTAGATAATAATGACTAAATTAAAAAACTAAATATGGCAACTTTTTGCATAATAACTAAACTCTAGGATATGACAAGAAAATATACTTATTGTCTATGGCAGAAAGGCAGCTAGTGCATTTTGTTGTCATTTAGACTTTAGAAATAGAAGTATTCAATATGGTGATAACTTATATTAATAATATCTAAGCAGATATGAGCGTTTTGATTTTCAATTATAAGTATACATCAATAAATTATTAAAGGTATTCATTATGTATACATAGTGATAAACATGTGTTCTGCACTTGCTCGACCCGACGGGATGCTTGTTAAGGAATTAAAAAAATGCCCATAACATATATAAGTAAAATATGATAAAATGGTTTGCTAAAACCGCAAAAATCGGTTGCATTTTTGTTCTATAAGTATAATATTTCAATTAATTATAATCTGTAGTATAAATACTGTTTTGACTGTAGAAAAACTTTCAAATCTCCGTCGGATCATAAAACGTAACATATAAATATACTAAAAACCATTGTACATAAGATTTTTTTTTAATTTTTGATGAAATTTAAATTTAACTCTGTGTCAGCAAGTGCAAAACATATCTTATATGTAACTTAACCTAACTTACATGACCTACATAAGCATTTTAAGCATCGAAACTTGTACATCACTTACTTTGAGTCGAGTATTATATAGCTGAGCTCACTTCCACGTTCAACAAATTCTTACGATGTAAGACAAGATACACAAATAATAGGATTGAAATAATATAAAAATCAATACAAAATAATTCCTCTACACAAATCGGAAACGTTGTACGGGAGCATATTGCATTGCAATAAGGGCCGTTACACACGATTTAATAACACATTTTTGATATCTGTTTATCACAATACATTACAACTCATACATTTGTAGCATTACATGATTTAATAAATTTATTCAACCCAACATTCTATAATCAACGTTTACTTTGTATACCTGGGAATATTTAGATTTACAATATACATATTGGTATCCGAAGAATACACGAGAAAGCCATAACATGTCATTATATGGTACAAGTAATAGTTTAGAGTATATTGTTAACAGTACAGACATACGCGTGTAAGGGCCCTTCGGCTATGAAGCAGGCACTTGTGTCGCGTTAAATGAACACCGGGTTCTCCTGGCCGGTCAGCAGGCGGAACATTGACGTCGGCATCGTTTTCATTAGGATCTGCAATATATATAATACATATATAAAGAAATATTCACACTGACTGGTATAAAAATATTAACAAACTTAGGCTTAAAACAGTTACAGTTGTGCACACAAAAATGCTTCATTCAGGATCATCAGGCATCTCTCACATGAGATTTTTAGACAGAAATCACATCTGCGTCTTTGTAATTCACAAGACACCTATAAGTAGCGATGTATCGTCTCAGCATTCACACACACTCACACATTTACAGACTTCAATATAAACAGATTCGCAGCACACACACACATTCATATTTGCATCTAGGTATTCACATCTCCATACCCACAAGAAGCGATGTATTTTCTGCGTATGCGCACACACACACACACAAACAGGTAATAAAGTAAGTAGTAAGTGCATACACACACTCGCAGCTCACACACACATTCACAGCAATAAACAGTCAGTGTAATAAGTCGCACCTCTCCGACGGAGGTGGCCAGCAGGTTGACGATCCTCTCATGAGGGACGGCCACCACGCTCTGTGAGTTGATCTCTATGATGCGATGACCGACACGCACACCGCCGCGCTCGGCTATACCGCCGCGGAGCAGACTGCAGATCTAAAGACAACAAACAAATTAATATATAACTTTAGTTTACACTGATGATATAGGTCAATGTTTTTCATATTGCGACCCCTTTAAGGATTGAAAAATTTTGGCGACCCCTTGTGCCATGGACAGGCAAGGAAATTTTTAAATTAAAAGTCTAAGGACATGAAAAGGAGAAATAAACTTCAATTACAAGTTGATTTGATAGATAATTAATCAAAAATAGCACCATTGACATGCTTTTGAAAAATAAGCAAGCCCATTCTCAATTAAATTTCGTTTTCATTGTAGTGTAAAACTATACAGATTGAACAATACTGGTATAAATGATAATTTCTGAGGTAAGCTCGTTGCGCCATCTATTGTCATAATGTACTCACCACGCCGTTCTGAACGCTGAATCCTAGTTGGTACTTGGTGTCGGGTCGTTTTATCTTCACTTCGACGACAGGAGCACACGGCACCACTGTAAGCTTCACCACAGTCTGGTTCTTTGAATTTTTGATGTAAGTCTGACATGTAGATAGAGGCAAACCCACGAGACTTACACCGTTTATAGCGATTATTTGATCACCTAAAAAAATTCACCCAAATTAGAAATACTATTGTGTGAACTTTTTAGTTATAGACAATTAAATTTACGACTTGTAAACTGTGTACTAAGAGATTAGGAGGGAAATGTCAACAATTAGTTAGGAAGTGTTTAGATGCTATTTACGACGAAGAACGATTGTAGTACATAAGTGGTTGACAATTATTTATAGCACTCTACTTCCCTATCCTACCTAGATTAAGTAGATTAATATTGTTATCAGTTTTGGTTCTTAGTTTTTAACTTTGTTTTAACCTAGTTCTTATTTTGCTTTGTTTTATCTTAGTTTTATACCGTTTAGTCTGTATTTTAGTAAAAAAAAAAACAATGTTGTATACACCTGTAAAGGCTAATCATACTGGATTGTATATTTGGTGCATATAATATTGTGTTAGTTATTATGATAAATCGATGGTGTATCTGAATAAATAAATAAAATAAATATTCGATTTAGTCCAAGTAAAGCCAAACTACTATTAAAATTTTATATCTACGGATTACACGGGTCTGATTAAATTATCACTATCATCATACATATATATGACACCACCTACTATTTGTAACCATACCACCTTACGGAACTCACCAATATTGAGTTGTCCACACCTCGCGGCGGCCCCGGCTGGTGCGAGATTCGCAATGACCACAGTAGGCAGCATGGAACCCCAGCCTGATTCCACCACAACCACTCCGAGTATCTCACCCTTCGTCTTCGGTACAACCACCTCTTTCTGCAATTCCTATTCGATAATATTAATTAAATAGACCCGGCGGAACTCTGTCGGCTCCAGGGGTTAATAAATTTTATATAGGCTATGAAAAATGTAAATTATAGCTAAAAATATGCTAAGCTACAAACACTTGCCTTCTTTGCAAACATTTGCAGTTCGTCACCAAATATTTCCTGGCTGTTAAGCACTTCCTGATAGTCCATTTCCTTAACAAAGCTATGGTCCTCTATACCGTTCGCCTTCAAGAACTCCATATACGCAACTTGGAAAGCCTGGCCTATAGACTGAGCTATGAACTGGGCCTGAAATTTTTTTGACACCATTTTGTTATACAAAACTTTGAATAATAATATATACATACGCTCATCAACAATTCAATCCAAATGTTCCATTGTTTTGGAAATACAATTAAGAGTTTTTAATGGCACTTAAATATCACTAATTTGTATCAGAGCAATTAACGTTTGCTTTTAGAGTTATGCGATTATAATTGAACTAATGTTATAAAATATTTAAAAATAGTCATAATAACTTACAATTTACAAACAATAGTTAACTTCGAAATTAAGACATTAAAATTGATTAATAAGAAAGGAAAATCACCTCTTCGCTTTCGAAAACATGACATATCATCTTAGGCGTACGGTTCAATTTTGGTTGATCGGAATCATTCTCGTGGGGTACAAACCGTCTTCTTGCCATCAACACAACCAGGTCTCCTATATCAGCTATATAAGATATCGTTCTCAGAGCATGATCCATCATTATTTCCTTCAGTTCAGTGTTAAGGACCATAATCTTTTCAGTTGATATGAAAAGATCTACTTCGGTACTCGGCTGGTTTTCACCTTCTGGAGCCTGGAACAAATACAGGACTTTACAGAATCTGGTCCTACCTAGCAAAAATATTGTGCGAATCTAATAATGTACCAACAAGAAACATAGTTTCAATAAATTGTATGATAACACAATTCGACATTATTTTTCAGCGACTTTCGACAATTTAAATTATAATAATAAGAATGATAATACATTATGGAAGTGCTTCAAGTCGTTAGAAAATTCCAGTAACTTAAATAGCTGCATTAGCGTACACTTACCAAGGCCTAATCCAATGATAGCATGGGAAAAGATGTTGAAATGATTAAATATCAGACACAAGGAAGCAAATACCCAAAACGAACATGCACAACAGAATTATTTGACATAGTATATTTGAGATAGCTAGTGTGATCGACGTAAATTTCAATTATTGCATCTGGCAAAAATAAATACCAATATCACCGTTCAATGAACCTGTACCAATAACATAAATGTATAATGAGTGACGTCACGCTATAAACCAAACCACCTTAATCTTGGTGACGGCCTCCTCGACCATATTCTTTTTGGGCCTCCTCTTGCGCCGTCTCGAGTCCTCGTCGACTTCGACGGAGCCGAGGAATGAGAGGCGGAACACGGCCGCGGGTGCCGCATACACCCCCGAGTAGGGTCCCTCGCAGCCCCACTGTGGGACACACCGGCTAACCTCCTCTCGCTCTCACATATAACACCCTCCCGCTCTAGCAAGTCGTTTTGCTTGCTTTCATCGATTCATTACGTTTTTGTTTGGTACCGTACCCAATTTCAATGATAAATTTTGTCGGCTAAGCTTAAGCGGTACTTTGTTTAGCAGAATGTAAGCTCGAATAATAAAATCTTATTATGTATTACATTAGTTCAATGACGAACACGGGGATAGCTACTTTTATCAGCGTTTAAACCAATATAATATTAAATGTAAGCCAATTATCGTTCCCTGAGCAAAAGCAAGCAAAACAACTGAACACACAACTCGAATGATATGTGAGAAGCGAGCGAACCGTTCGTCATTATGAAAGCGGGCCTAACGGAAGTCGACCTTCCATCATTAAGATAAGGTTTGAAATATGTTGTGCAAAGCTATTCCGTTCCGTGCTCCTTGGATGGCCATCTTAGCCGGTGTGAATCGGATCGTGTCATGCCATCGTATCGTTGATCGTATGGTAACGTGCAAGCTGACGCATGTTAGTTGTGCAAGCGTATCCAGTGTAAAGACACCTTAACGATATTCATGCTCTTAATAAAAAAAACACGTTAAAATATCTCTCAGATTTAAAATGCTATATGATAGAAACAATATCCATGTCATGATTAAAAATGATCCAACTAAATAGAGAAATACTCGCGTCACCTAAGACGTACATCCTGAAAGGAATAGGGATGCATACAAAGCAGAGCGGCAAGCACAAGCTATAGATTGAAAAAAAATATCCAGAGGAGGCTAGCCGGCGATACGGGATCCGACATCTTCGAGATCGGGTCTGGGTGAGGAATACACTGAAAAAAATACTCTAACGCCATGTCAATACGAACGCATTTACATTGGCGGACGGGATTGGCCGACCTAGGAAACATAGCTTACGGGTATACGGCATTTATCTATAACTAAAACAGGTACATTGGCATCATTAAATATCAGGGCACAAGGATAAAGGATATCCCACTAGCATTCTCAAAACACTAATATATGATGAGCATGAAATTACTTATGATTTAAATCAATGATCCAAAACTGAATAGAAATTTAGCGCTCGTCCCAAGAATATGGAAGTATGGGATAGCGCTAAGACATTATAGAAAATAATACAGAGACTAGGAAGAGGTAACCTCATGCTCACGAAAATACGTCTACAAATATTACATCAGATGATAAGTAACCGATTCACACGGGCAATGGTCCATTGGAATGTTAAGAAATCAACATTGAAAGTGTATGATGAATTCTTTAAAACAAATCATGATATTTTATTGACTGTGAGTTAAGTGTTAGTCATATATTTCGTATTTGTTATTTTTTTTGCTCACGTTACCTTGATCCGAGACACAGCTTCTTCGGCTTGCAGCATCCTTGTGGCTTTAGTTGGTTGACCTTCACACGCCAGTTGAGTGGAGCCGAGATAACGGGCTCTGAACAACACGCCCTCTATCAAGACTGCGGCCCAATCTGGAAAAAATGTACAGAAAATTATGCCATTGGTGGAATTAGTGCTGCTAATAATTTTCGAGATAACTTCTAAAGTAGCTTTGGACCTTCGTCTTTATATATGTATGTATATATTTTTCACATTGACATTAAAATTTATGCATTCGTTTCTCTTAAACAACTTACCGAAAATAAAATTCCATGTGAAGCAGAAAAAGGAACACAAAGTCAGTGAATTATTTTATTTTTCTTTAATTTAATTTTCATTTTAAATAATTAAAATTTTCTTTTCTTACTTACCTTCCTTATTCTTGCTTTTCTTTTTCCCGTCCTTATCCTGAAAGTTATAAAAATATGTTAATTCAAAAACGGTATACTATTTTCATTTCAATTTAAAATATGTATAACTAAAATAGTAATATTAATTGCATATAATTATTGAAGAATATAAATTTATATCAATATAACAAATTAATTCATGAAATTAAACCAATATTCGTATAGAAGGACAGGAATCAAGATGGAATTCAAGAGAAAAACTATTTAATAACTCTAAACATCCTCTCGCACGCACATACTCAAATCGTTGCACACACTCAAGTCTACAGGCACGCACGCACGCACGCACGCACGTCACTCAGTCATAAATTACCTTTCCGTTATGCACTTCGTCTTCCCTGTGATCATCATGAGCGTCCCTCGACCCACCGGACGGCATCACAGTACGAGACTTAGGTTTACGCCAGCCCTAGAAAAATAAACATATCATCAATATTTAAAATACGTATTGATCAGACGATACGTGGGAAATTCTCGCGCCTTTATTTATATCCATAGCAATTAATTGAACTTATTAGACATTTGAAAATAAATTCTAAAGTATAAAGTTACATTTATCGACTGGACTTGGAACTCATCGACTAAATGGACTATTTATAAATCGCAATAAATTTATTACAAGACGGCCATGCAATGACTAAAGAAAACTGACATTAATGGATTACCACTGGTTTCATTCGACCGTGGTTTAAAAAGTATTCTTATTCCACAAACTAACTTGCTTTTATTTCCAAACAAAAACAATAATTAATTAAGCCATATAAAATAATTCCATAGAATTAACATCACATATAGAACATTCGATAATATTTATGAACGACTTTCATTATTTGTATTCATATATTAATTATTTTATCGAACAGCCGCTAATGTATTAATATAGAAGAATTACTAACACTACGCATTCAAACGAAAATGTCCCAAGCTGTTATGACAAACAAAAAAATTTTCCTCGAATTAAAAATCGATATGTTTATCTCAAAACTAATACCTAACGATCTATGGCGCGATAATATCGTATATTAATAACAAAGGGGACCTTATTTTTTATTGGTTCACTTTCTACATGATCGTCTTTAACATCGTCACTTTGACTCGACTCAGTCACTGAATCACTTAATACATCACTTCCTTCCACAGTGATTGTACGACGAATGTTTTCTTTACAACCATTTCGACTTATTTCATCACTTGTATTAAATTTAGTTTTATTTTCTGTTTCGACACTTAAACAACAGGAGCGATTCTCATAGGTATCATTTTCGTTAACGTTTAAACCGAGCACATCATTGTCATCTTTTTTAACCGAATCTTCATCCTCACAGTGTACCTCAACCTCAACATTCATTTTCGTATATTAATTCTCATAACGCACACGAGTTACGACTGTATGAACATGTGGTTGTTTCTCAGCGATATGTTATCGCAGACTGCTCGCCCGAGTACAGCAGACAGTAGTGTACACAGATTAATAAAAATACGAAAAATCAGAGAGGGCATAGTGGGATAAGCAATGTGTAATTTTTATATATAGATAACTCGTCCAAATATAAGATAGAATGAATTTTCTAAATATTAATAGGTGAATTAAAAATTTATCATTTTTATTTGAAATTAATTAGATGAAATTCTGAAAGTCGGTTTACCATGTTAAAATTTTCAAATATTTGAAAAAATCGTATTAAACTATTTTTATATAAAAAACACCCGAAACACAGTAGATTAGACATTATTTAAAATAAGCGTTGGACACTTAGTAAAGGTTTGGTCACACATGTTATATGTCAAAATGTGGAGATTCCTTAATATAAGTATTGACACTTATAAATATCAAACTTAATGACAATCCTATTCAAGTAATGGACGATAAATAATCAAACAATTATGATCAAACATCGACCGTCCAGCGACATCTATGTCTTTATATGAACAACTATGACTTCATCTATGAAGCACCACTCAGCTAGGTACAAAACTATACATTGCTATGACATGTTCTATGTCATGTGTAATAGTCGTACAAGGTCGGCCCGAACGGTTGCAGTGCGCTCCATTGAATCATCGCATATTTTAAAACTGTAATATAATTAATACTAATTTGTGCGTCTGTTTATTAGAGTCGTTAAGAACTTGTTTGTGTTAATTATTTGAGGTCTAAATTATATTTTATATGATATAGTACATATTATCTATTTGTATGTGTTTGGGAATAGTCACGTACAGAAGTTATTTTAATATATAAAAATTGTTCTTGGTGTTGGATTGGTGTCGCAATAGCTCAGTTGGAAAAGCATCTGGTTTTGTAATATTATGAAGGTCGCAGGTTCCAATATTGTGACCTACGAAAATTTAAACTCTATATTTGATACTACAGTTTTAATTTATGATATATTTTTTATACGAAAAGTTTTGAAAAACTATTTTTTATTAAATAAATCTAATATTTTCGTATGTATATTTTCATTTTCGTCTCGTTCACCTGTGATCACGGTTGCTACAAAGTAACCGAAACGTTGGGAGTATGAATTTTTAACGATAAAAAAACTCGTAATACATCCGAAGTTATTTGTTTTTTTTAATGAATATTTGCGAAAGTCTCAGATATCATTATGGTACATATACAGTATATAATTATTTCTTGGTAACAATCTTTGTAAACCACTTACTTTATCATCAAAGAATCCTTGGTCATCAGTTCTTTGCTGGCCGAGCAGTCTGTCTGTCTCCAAATCTGTATCAGCTTCGTCTGTAAGAGTGAATTTCATTAGAAAATTTAAGAATACAAAGAAGTAAGTACTTTCTTTAAAAATAATTTATTATTCAAAATTGTGACAAAAATATACATAGCTATACCTTCATCGCCGCTTGCTGGTTTTATTTCGACTGATTCAGTACTTTGAGCTGACGATGGCCTTTTCCTGAAGCAAAAATGATATAGTAAAAACTGAGAGTATATCCTTATATGTCAATATTCGTATGTGTAGCATGACTCTATATCTCCTATCTCCTTTATTAAAATCATAATCATTCTAATAAAAAAATATTTTTTTACTGAAGATAATTTATAATTTATACTGAAGACAAAAGTGAATGACCTATTAATAGGAAAATGCGTTAACCATGCAAGACCAAATTAATTATTAAAAATTAATTCTACCTCATGGTGAGACCTCTTACCATTTTAGTTAGCTCTATTTAGATAAGAAATTTAGTTTTAATTTAGTTTTAGCTCTATTTAGATAAGAAATTAAAAAAATGGTTGATGATAAATGACCATTCACTTTATACTGATACTGATGTTTGTTCACAGAGAACACAAATATAGCAACAACACCAAAATATGCTATAATTTATGGACATATAACTCCAATCACACTGTCATTGTGTCCATATCATTACCACATTAACACAAGTTATCCTCACCTCGGGTACACGTCTTCGTGGTGAGATCCGTGGCGGTGATGGGGCGTGTGTGTTGAATGTGTTGTGTGTGTTGAATGTGTTGTATGTGTTGTGTGTGTTGTATGTGTGCCGTCAGCCGGCCTGTGCGGGGCTGGAGCAGGTGGGGGCGGAGCTGAGGCTATGAAAATACAACAATAATACTTATTAATAAACACTTGGTAAAGTTAATGAACTAAAAGTATAGAGTATAATTGTGTGCTACTGCATTTACGTCAGTAACAAAGAGCCTTTACTGGTTATGTACTGCTTTCGTGGAAAATTTTAAGTGGTCACTGTAATACGAGGTAAAATGAGTAATCCGTTTAATTAGTCCCATAGCGACAGTATGTCTTTATATGTATTTATTTTTGTCATATCTGAAGCCTCTATATTCCGTCACTTATTAATTGACAGAAGTCATTGAGAGCAAACGCGTCACAAAGACTGCCGTTCCTGTTTAACATAGGACGTTTCTATCTAAGTCACCATCATAAGATTAGACTTTAACTTTCACGCAAAATATAGTACAGGCGATGTTTAGTTACAAAATTTTCTTACCCAATGGATCCAAGGAGTGTAGATCAGCGTCAGTGAGGACGAGGTCAGTGTTGTTGACGTTGTCCACTTGTTCCTCGATCGTCACAGAATGAGTCTGGAAATAAGACATGCCTTCATTAACAAAAACTTGAGGGTTCTCAGTTAAGTTCTAAGAAATAATACATGATGGTACTATTCAATTAAATTTTTTAACACAAAGTAGTCTCAAACACGGAAATTTGTAGGTTCTAACCTTGAATTTATTTAAGTTTAAAAATAAAATGATTCATTTTGGAGTCACTAATTGTATTTACCTAAAAATATAAACAAGAATAATTCTTCCAGCTATTGAGACGATCTTAAAATTTTTTTTTTCAAAATTAATGAGATCTAACATTTTAGTATTCATTAAAATAAAACTAATATTTATTGGATTTACTATGCATTTATAATTATTTTCAACAACATACACAATTTCACGTCTCGTCTGCCCGTAATCACAGTTACTGCAAAGTAATTGAAACATCTTGAGTATGAAGTTTAAATAGCTTAGTAAATCCGAAATATATTAGTTTTATTTACAAAAGTACTTTATGTATTACCTGTAAAATGGCGTTATTATTGTCCGCGTCAGAAGTGTGCCCTGATGACAGACCGTCCTCGACTATAGGCAGCGTGCGAAGTCCTTCTTGAACTAAACGTTATACGATTACCATTCAAAAATAACTACATCATCTTAATATTAGACAATTATGCAACTCTCACCTTGCATCTCTGCTAAATCGGTTTCAATGATGGCCATAGATAACTGTATCTCTGATTCGTTGGCGGGAAACATCGCGGGATATCTGACACAGGCTGGGAAAATATAATAAAACATATATTCTTTTTATTAATACAGCGAGGTACATAGAACAATGACGAATTTAGTGATTATTTTACATATATGAATACATCAGAATAATTGAGGATTATTGTGAAGTTAGACCTTTAACCTACTCATAAATATTGGTGCTTTGTACCAAAAGAAATTGAAAATCCGTTTCTTAATTCCACAGCTAAGCACAATCAAACAAGATTACTCCCTTTTTGGATTCATTTTATTCGTTCAGTTCGTAGGAATAAATCAATTAATTTAACCTTATTCTTTGATAATAAATAAATGAAATTTACAAAATCCATCTTCGCCATACATGAGTAGTATGAATTAAATATTCCAGTTGGAAAGTTATTATAGAAACATTTTTTTTAATGTGAATATATACTCCCTGGGGCCTACATGATTGGGTTGGTAATAAAAAGTCACAATTTAATTAATGAAAACGATCGTCTAAAGATCGAAAAAGAAAATAAACTAAATAAAAGTTTGGATACAAATTTTTCATACTGATGTTTGATTCAAATATGGATTAAAAATAATTGAGAATTCCAGATTTGACGAACATCACAGATAACATCACAGCAACGTCACAGTTTAACAAATAATTTTAGATGCTAGGTCGACATTGGACCAACCAGTATAAATATAACCTAACTGAAGTCTTGTAATGGCTGAAGGAGGTTATTTTCAATTGTTATACCGCTTCTCAACCAGACAATACAGAACTGTCGCAAACATGTCAAAAAAGGTCAAATCTTTTTTGTTTTTTTTTTTTGGGTTCAAAAATTAAAAAAAAACTTTCTAGTATGTCATCAGCCTATTAGAAGCCCACTGCTGAGCAAGGCCTCTTTCTCACATGGAGAAGCTTTGAGCATTAATCACCACGCTTGCTCAAGACGGGTTGGTGATTTCAAACTTATAATTGTGAAACTATAAGTCCAGGTCTCCTCACGATGTTTTCCTTCACCGTATGTCAGTGGTGTCTAAATACTCTCAGAAAGTACATATCACTCCGAAAAATCACATTGGTACTTGCTTGTATGTAGGGTATATAAAGGGATGTAAGTACCTTTGACGGGCATTTCGCTTTCAGCGCCGGCCACCGAAAGGTCACTACGTGAGCTAGACCCGGGCGGTGAGCCGCAAACACTAGCGCCGTCACCCGGCTGCAGTGCTGATATTTCTGGAGACGGGAAGCGACCACGCTTTTGCTGGAATTCATAATATTAATGACTATGATTTCCAAATTTTCTATGGGAAGCTTTTTTGGTACAGTAAGGTAATAAATATGAAGTTATTTATTTTAAAGTATCACCTGTAGTCCCAAGAAGTCCGTATGATTATTCAATGCGTGTGGAGATTCTATTGGTTCGTTCTGAGGCCAATCTGATTCGCTCCCGTCGATGCCATTTTCTGACGGACAATCTTGCGTTTGTCTTCGAAGTTCGTAATCGAGTTCCTGGAAAAACGTCTATATTAGGCCTATAAGTATCTCATACATGAAATATAATAACTACTGTTATATTAAGGTTAATAGAAACCTGGAAATTGACTATCTCGTCATTAATATTCTGCTGCTGTCCAGGTAAGGTCGGACATCTAAAGAATTCTTCCAGGACCTTTCTTGTTTCCGAGAACTCATACAAATAATCGAAAGCCGCTGAGCCGGGCGGTGGCGTTGCATCTCTACTCTCTGGTACTACTCGCTGAAAAACGATATATACCAATTATTAAGCTAAATATAAACTTTTTATTTCCCAAAATTACGTCAAAAAGAATGAATGAAATAAATCGTCACATTCTTAAGGACAAATTGGCTATAGCTGGGAAATTGCCAGGTAGAAGAAGATTCTTAAGGACAAATTCTCGTGCAAAATTATTGTTAGTACCTGAGGAAAACCTGGTCGCGGTGATCTAACAGGAGCTTTCTGTGACCCGATGCCATATCTTCTCGGGGAGCCTTCGTACTCAGCTATCGGTAGTTCCCCTATGACCCTAGTGACCCTGTTCTTATCCTCGTCCCCCGACAGCCAGACAGCAGTCGGGCTCCCTTCACTCAACCTGACGTCCTCCGACCTCGAAGACTCACTCTCATCACAACTCAACTCACTTTTATTGTTCAACATGTCACAATCACCGTTTTTCATATTGTCTAAAGTCCTTTTAACACTCAAATCTATTTCGTGGTCACTAGCGTCTGGGTCCATCCTCAAACCTAGGGACACAGAATTCAATATAACTGAAAATAAAAGAGAGAGAAAAATATGTTTTCATGAATGATGATTTGTTAATAATGATCAGGCGATGTTTGGTTATCGTGTGTTTAAATGAAAGAAGCAATTAAGGCAAATACTGAAGACTTTCTGGTAGGATATAATATAGCAATTTATAAGTTGTTTATGAAAAGACCAAAAAGATATAGACTAAAAAAATTTATAAGCTTTTTATAATGTTGAAACGCAAACAGTATTTTTATAATAATAAAGAGCGTATTATTTATGTAATATGCTCTGAAGCATTATTTTTTCAATATGTACAATATTTTTTTACCTTTCCAATCATCGTTTTCATCAAAAACCATAACTTCACCATCAGCTACGACTGCTATGGGACTGCTCTTTGTGCTCACGTCATTTATTTTATGTGGGTCTAGTATAGGTGAACTGTTCTTTGGTATCCCCATGGGATTTTGTTCTATAGTCGCTTCTCGATCACCATTCGTGTACGTTACGGGTGATGTGTGGCGCGATATCATCTTTTTTGGTTCACTATTAATTCTGTGTATGGTTATCTGAAATTAGAACATAATAGTCAATTAAAATGTTTTTGTCCTTAGTTTCTAAGTGTATTGGTTCAGTGTAGTACACTCACTTCATTATTGATGTTATTATCATTGGTGTAGTCTACGGTGTCTTTGTTGAGTGAACGCACTTTGTTCCTGAGGTTGTGTTTGTGAGTGGTGCTGTGTCGCAACTTTCTCACAGCCTTCGCCCTACTTTGTGAGTACAGTTCTCTGCCACCGGCGATTTCTATTATCCTGGAGTGGGGACGGAATGTTCATTATTGTACGTTAAGAAATTCTTCTTATTTCAGAGACCTACATTTTCTGCTTTCTTAGGATGAGGTTCGATAAATTCGAAGACGAGAAGTTCAAAGGCTTATATGTATGCAGGTTATATTTCTATTGATTTTGAATTGGATTTAAACGCAATATAGGTCACCTTTACTAATATATGTTGTATGTCTAGAATTCACACAGTTATCGCTTTATAAGTACTTCATTTGAATTATTTAGATAAACCCAATAATATGGCTACTTCGACTCATAAATAAAATGAAGTAAAAATTTTGTGAAAAGCATCAATTCTATCAGAGTTCGTATTGGAAATTGATCGCCCGCCAATTGCTGTGCTTCCGTTGATTCCACCACGAATCTATCCATCACAATCGACAAAATCCATTATATTCTTCAAATAGGTTTTAAAAATACGGAACCATTTCTATTAATAGAAATAATATGTATTTAAGATAAAGATATCAAAACCTATTCATATTCAGTTTAGTCTTTATTATTGTACCTTAAATTAAGCTTTAACTTAATTTGTTTAACCCAAAGTATTTTATATAAAATAAAGCTATTTGAGGGAAAAGTACATAAACTAATATATCCTATGCAAATAAACCTAAACATCCAAACAAAATGGCGATCCACCAAAGTGCCCTGATGTTGTGAAAGTAAACAACGCCAGATGTCCAAACATTCATAACTTGACCGATACATGAAAATATCAAGTATGTCTTACTGAAAAGCAATAAATTGATACCTTCAATTTCAACTATACCTACTGGAAAATCTCCTTAGGAAACCAGTAATAATATACATAGTATTAATTGGAAAGAAAGGCTATGCAATAAAAGGTTTGTATTCTTTTATATTGATATTTTTAAGTCTGATGAATAACCAGAAATCTAGCATAACCTTGGTCCATAAAAAATCATAACTCCGAAATATTCCTGTGCTGCATTAGTGATTTGCTATAGAATATTGAAATGTTTAGGAATTGTACACAGTACTTCTTGTTAATATGGTATAAACGAACCTCGAGTCCCGTAGCTTGTAAGTGCCACCTTTAGTGTTAAGGATGACTTGGTCCTGCTCTTCATCAGAGGACGCGTTGTTTACGCTAATCATGTCTCTTCCTTCCAGACCAGTACTTAGTCTGTGAACACAAAACCTTAAAACACTACGAGATCATTAGCGAATTAAGCAATAAATCATTAGCTGTCAAAATACTATAACTAAGGCTTATGGCCGCCACTACTTCAGAACAATAAGAGTAAACGCAAATCTACAGCAACTCATAGATTAAATAGAGCAAGGTCGTAAAAGGCTGCGATAGTTGCCAAAAACTCTGCCAAAGAGTAGGACGAAAATCATTCCAACGAGCACAGAACATTGCAAAATCTAAAGACCTGATAACATTAGTAAAAAAACATTCATTACGACCCACACGGATCATTCTCATCAAAAATAATTTAAACTACTATTTTACATACTAACTTTTTGGAACAGCAGCGTCGCTCGAATGAGTCGTTCTTAAAGTAATAATTATATGTTAGATATATGTAGTATTCATATAGCGTTACACTATATCTACATGCGGCTTTCAAATCGTATATTATATTTCATAATATGTCGGCCTACCATGAAAGAAAGTAGGCCATATCGCTTCTTATTTACGAGAAGGCAGTTTATATTTCGCACTCACATCACACGCCCCGATTAGAGGACTCTCGCCTCGCAGGCGGTTGGATTTGAAAATCAGAAAGTTTTTTTAAAAATAACTAGGTCGTTACGGAGTAGTTAGCGATCGACACGCGAAAAGACAATTACCTTCATTTTCAGCCAGTCTTTGTTAATGGAATATAATGATTGATCGATAAATACTAAAAATAGAACACCGGATGTATCGGTTTGATCTATTGTATTCTATAGAATAGAATCAGCTACGAAAATCTGATCGCAATTGTCTTTTTTATGCACTAGCTTTAAGCTTTACTTACATGTTAATATGAATGGGGTAAACTGGGCTGCGTAACCATTAAGCACTGCACATAAAACAGCATATGATGAGTGGTTTCGGTCATAGGTACCTGTACCTATCGTGCTGGTGCTGCATGTTCTTCGGACGGCACTTGGGGAAGAGGCGGGTGATGTTCTCGCCGACGTCGGAGCCGGGCGTCGAGTCGCCGGCGTCCGGCCTCAGGGCGGCGTTCATGTCGCCACTACAGCCGTCACGACGCCGCCTCTACCGGCAATACGCCGATTGTTTAGCAAATTATGAACTTAACTAACACAGAATCATTCATACACAGATGTTTAGCAAATTATGAAGTAAACCAACACAGAATCATTCATTCATTTATCAGAATACTTCTCGTTCTTTTTATAGATGACAGTCAAAATAATAATGAGCTTAAATTTCATGACATAAATGATAAAAACAAAATTTTAGGAATAGCTTTTCGTTTATATATTTTTATTTACCTTCCTAAACTAATGCACATATGACTACCAACTACTAAAGTTAAGGTAAAAAATATAGATTTTATAGCAGTATTTTAATATCGATATACTCGTTTTTCTTGTAACCCAAGTGATAATTCGGAATATATAAAAACATGTACCACTGATATAAGATGGAAATTTTCGTGATTTGATGAACATTCAATTTCATTATAGGTAAGTATTATAATGAATTTATGGTACTAAATAATATAAATCAATAAGGGTTGTATCGCAAACGTCTCTAAGCATTTGGTTTTAATAAAAAGCTTAATTTCGCATTATGTTCGTACGACGCGTGCCGCATGGCACGGACCGGCTACCAGCGGTTCACAACAATCCGATCGATACCACATTAGCATTGTGGCGGATACAACAGCGAAATATATAAAATACTAAAGAATTATACTGCGGTACAAAATAACAATACTATACAAAGAATATTAAAATCAAACAGATCATCGTTATATTTCTTGTAGGTAGAATTCAATTGTTTAAGGAAATGAAATGTTTATAATAAAATTTATCAAATATATAAAAATAATAGTATATAATAACATTTTAATAGCTATAACGTTGAACACGCGAACGTTCATGCTCCTTTTGTTAGATTTATAAGGAGAATTTTCTATTATTTTAAACTGAGGTATTTTCAGTTTCATTGTTAAAATAATATTAAATTAATTTCCATTATATACATAACGTAATAATACAGAGTTTAATTTAATTTTTTCGTCAAACAACTTAAATGAATTTCCCTAGAATATATGGATAAAAATCTCTGACGCCAAATTGAATTAAATGGCGTGACAAAATATTTTTATATATTTAGGAAGACAAAGAACACTTAAACTTAATCTTGCGCCGAAATCTGTTAAGTTAGTTACAATTTACAACTTTTGGACTTTCTGAGACGTAAAAGGAGGTCAAGTAAATTATTTTGCTGTACGAGTTTGTGAGTGACTTGGACTAGGAATTAGTGTAGCTCTTCATATTGTGAACAGTTCACAACTCCTAATTGATAGAACTTCATAAAGAGCAATGAAAATCTTACAACAGTTTAATAAAATACAAATAAAATGATCATTTTGATACTGGAGCAGTGATTTGTTGCTTTGCAGTTTGTTTTATTTTTTGTGAACGTGTGTAATCAGATATTGGTAGTTTTATGCTAATTAATTCTAACGTTATAACGTTCTTTGTTATTTATTTAATATACATATATTATATGGTTTCAACTAGAATTTATGTTTGTTATTAAAATATATGTTTATTCGTAAATAAATATTCTATGATTGAAAAATAATAAATCCAAACAAGTTTTAAATTCATAGATGTTAAAAATTTATAATGAATGAGATATAATTCACGTATATTACGATAATTGAACATATTATTTTAGTTATATATAAAATATATATTAAAGAAAAAATATATACAATCGTTGGAAGGGAAAGACGAAAATCAAAGCCTGATTAAGAGGCAATCTGATTTAAAGGTTATCACTCGGACGGAAGATTTTAAAGTGCTGGGAGAGGAATAGATATTTGATAAAAGTAATATAATACAGTCCCAGTTAGAGTTCTAGAGGACGGGGACTCACGGCGTCGCACTTCGACTATTAACGATCAAGACTTTAGAACGTGACTGGAAAATGGCTATTGCTTTTATAGAAAAACTTAACACGGAATGCCTTTTAATATTAATTGTTGTATTAAATTCATTTATTACTACTACTATTAAATATTATATTAAATTAATATTATTATGCTGATCAAAATTCGTATGACAAGCACAAGTTTGAAACAATTTCAAATTTCGGATAATTCATTTTGCTTCGGTCAAATAAATAGATTTTTTCTTCGTTATATTTTCCAATTAATTACAATCTAATACTATAATAGTTCCTTAATATTTCCTCAACACTGTTTCATGTTAAGCCGCAGTTGTGTGATTAAAACACCACATTAAGAAGCCAAATATTTTCGCTTATGGCCCATATCGCTAAGTTAACAGTCGCGTGTTTGGTTAACAAAATATAATTTAACTTCTGTATTAACTGAACTTAGAGTAACGATGGTTTCGGATAAGAAGAACCAACATTAATCTCTGTCTAACAGTCATATTTATTCATTATTTGTTAATAATTTTGTATGCTCCAGTCGACACGCATATGTATGTTCCGTTCTGTTCGGAAAAGCAACATTTAACTGAATCATTTCCAAAATCCTCACTAACGAGTAATTAATTCACGATACGAGCCTCGCCTGAGGGAAGGCATATCCAATGATATAATTTCAAATATCAAAAGCAGACTTATCCTAGTTAAAATACAGAATAATATTAAAGTTATTTTTTAATATTTCACATTATCTATACCGTCTGTGGATTACATTGGAAAATTATTTCCCGCGAGACACTTCTGTTCTTTCAATGTAGATTTGAGGAAAATTGCGTCTTAAACACGACCTCGTCTGTATTATTCAAGACGCTCGCGCTATGTTTCAAAAATAAACTTTAAATGAAGAAATATTTCGAACTTAGTCTACAAGCATAAAAAGAATATTTGAATACCGTTTCTTTTTTTTATTTACGCTAAGTATCACCAAAAAATATATAAAATATGGTAGAAAAATAATTTTTGTATTTAAAAACAATCTATAATCGGATTAGGTAGAATTTATTAGAAACATATATCACCACTTCGTTACCTCTCATGATTTGTTGTAAAATATATGTTATTATATGAAATATTTTAAAACAAGTAAATATACATACGTTAACACGGAATTTCGGAAATATGAACAAAGTTATATATTTTATTTATATTAATCTATTATTACTTTAAGTGGACTGTGGCAGAAATTTTGAATTCTTCAAAATAACAGAAAGCCTTTATTACTTTGGTGATATCTTGTGATTATAGTTTGTGATGAAGCTCACGTCACACACGAACCAAATCTTCTTGAAGCTGAACTAATTTAAATTCCAAGTAAACGTGAGTGAGAATAATTTGCTTTTGATCAAAACAATGATAGAGACTGTTAAAATCTTCTCGTAATAGTAACAACTTTATTTTTATAACATTAACAAATTCTTTTAAAAGTTTTATCTTTCAAGCAGTGTTTTTTCATGACTATATTAAATCGTGAATTTAGCCTACGCTTCATAAATAAACAGTACTTTGTTATAATATTTTTTTGATGTACGATGCTTTCAAAATACCCTAGGGAGATGTGAGTGAACTCCTAGCATTTGCAACCCCAATAATAACCTTTCTAGAGGCCTTTACTCTTACAACTTACAATTTACCGCTGACATTATATTGAATTAAATAAAAATATGTCTACACTGAACTTATTTATTTGATAGTCTTACTATAACTACGTCTTTTTCTGATTCTGATTCAAAAACATATACATATATTATAATTTGAAGAGTATAAAAAACCAAACACGTTCTTCAAAACGAAACCTAAATTTCCTGAATTTTCACATCTCCCAACACAGTAGGCCGTAAAGACGCTCATTACTAGCGGGAAACTCAGACGTAGCAATATCCTCAAAACAAGGCTAGAAAATTACACTTTACGACGTCACCATATTGTACAAGATGTAACAAGACAATAGATTAGAGTGACACGCACAGATTGACACACAACGGACCTGACCTACATATTGACATTATATAGGAACATTAATAAGACTACCACAAAAAATCTTTGTATATAAGAAAAAGCATTTAATTTTAAAGAGCCTTTACAATATTTAGGGCTCGTTTAATTTTTATCTCAGGTCGTTGGTTATAAGAAATACTGAAATATACATACAATAACCAACTCTCCCTGTATAATGACGTAAGGGTAGCAATTATTAGTCATCTGACCAAAAGTAGAGATTAAAAACGATACGTTAAAAATGGAAAGAAAATTACATTGCACAGTATTAGAAAGATATACAATTGCACAGTACTAAAAAGAGATCACATTGACATTATTCAAATCAGACGACGAATCGTTCTTTAAAGTTCGAGAATACCTTTATTTTTACGACAAGAAATTTAATTTAAATCGAATAAAGTTCAAGCAAGTTGTTGTTCGAAGTAACTTTGAGGGAGTTCGGCTCTCACTGAATTCTAATTGTGATTAATAAAAGTAAAGCTTGATTATTAGGCGAGTAACAAGCGTGATCATTATAGTACATTATAACAGTGGCTTGTTTGAATAAACAGTCAAGTTTTTGTTTCCATTGTCCTAGTTACCTTCTCTTAGCATTTTGTCCGCTTTATACCTGAAACAAAAGAGTATTATTTATTAATTTTGCATTTCTAGCGTTTTTTAATTCTTTTTCTTTTCATGTTACAATTATGCAATTATATTATTACTACTTAATTTCTATTCTCTAAAGAGTGTTTATGACAAATTTAAGCCCTGAATATAAAATGAAACCTTGTTTTAATTAGGTATTTAATATGTTTGAACATTAATCCAACACAAGTCGGAGTCTGAAAGTTTTCATTTCTATCACAATGGACAACGAGAAACAAAAGTCCTTTACTCCGTAACTTGATACACATCTACATAACATAAATTATGTATGTCACTGCCCTAATTTTGTAATGTAATAACATCCCATGAAGCGAAGACAGCGCTTGAAAATGGAAATGTAAATTTATATAAAAATGCAGGTTTAATGCGATAAGAGAGCACTGGAG